GGAATCAACTAACTCCTTCCATTTTTTACCTTGGTATTATCCAACCATATTTACCAAGTAAGGGCAACATCACTTAAATTGTCTTGAAAGAAATGAATCAATAATTTCTTGTCAAAGACTACCTCAACCATCTTATTGCAGTATGCCTTTAAGTTCTTGTATATTTGATGAACTCTAGCACCCTAAACTTCTAAAAAATGACTATGTTAGGTACCAAACACATCTCAACAGCTTTTATATGGTCATATAAGCTAGTTCCCTTGAATGCCCTCAACCTTTGTTCTAGGGTAGCCTATTTGTCCAGACCATCTTCTTTTACCATCCTATTCTTTTGAGATTCCTTCATTGTAAGGTTAATAGTAGATGACATTCTTATGGGATATGCTGGTTGAGCAAGGTAGGAATACATAGCCTGTTGAGACACCTTATTTGCCCCTAGATTTTGTAGATTTATGAGCATAAGTTCAGGCTGAGCTGTAAATTTTGCTTCTTAAGGTTTAGATCTCAAGGCCTATTCAAGTAGGCTAGTAAACCTTGCGTCTTCTTCTCTAAGACTTTTTGTCTCTTTTTAGTGTTGGGCTTCTAACTAGGCTTTTTCTTTGTTTTTCATTTGTTTTTTCGTAGTCGAGTGTTATAAATGTGTTTCAGTGGGGGACTTATGTTTCACCTTGGATCTGTGGTCAGATTCGGATTCAATATTCATTGCAATGCTAAGACAAGATTTGTTTAATCTTTTATCATCAGAGCTTTTAGTTACATTCTTGGTGTCTTTTATTATACATCTAATATCTTAGCATAGTGGTATCTCATCGACATCTACTCTATGGCATTCTCCCTCATTCATTTGTAAAGATTTAGACTCGAGTTTGTACTTATCAGTTGTTATCTTTAAAATAACAATCATTACATCACCTGAAAGCACTTTTAAGCTTATCTCAGTGAATTTATACAGGGATTAACCTAAAGGTAGGTTCTAGTCATTATATGCATCAGGGTAATTTTTCTATTTAGTCTTAAAGGTCTTTCATATGCTTAGTGATCATCCTCAAAAAGTTGATATGAGGTTTATAAGCAGCGTGAAGATAGAGGCCCTAAGTAATACCAGTTTGACATATCAACTACTATTGAGCTAACAATCATACAAAAGCTAGATACTTTCTTGAGCCTTACCCAGACTAAAGCTATTGGGGTGTAGTTACTCCTCCACTTATTTTAAAGTTAATACCACACTTATTTAAAAATAAAATAAGTGATGTGTATCAATGTCCAATAAATATGCATGATAAATGATTAGTACTTAAAAGTGTATTTTTATCAAGGTTTTATATCATCATTTTGCACTTGAAGTATCAATAACTCCTTAACTAAAACATGTTTTATAATAATATATCTAATAATATAAGATACCTATAATTTGTG